AGGTGTGTGTGTGTGTGTGTGGGGGGGGGGGGGGGTTTCCTGGATATATGAGAAGAATCTGCAGAAGTGGAGAAAGAGTATGTGCAGGACAGCAAAGAGAAATGTAACCGTAAGAAGAGCAGGAATAAAAAGAGAGAGATGAAAAGTTGTGCAAGGGATGTAGAGCTGTAATCTGTTTGGATTAAGTACGCCACCGTGTGGAGACCTATCACAGTCCTCTTTTCTACAAACTCACTCCTTTACCCCAAACACACCCAAAATATTTAGTTTTAAATGTGAATAAAGTGTATTTTAGTCAGAGTGGAACGCAGCAACTTATCAAGTGTTTAAACTAAGAAATGCACCTTTTTTTATGGAAAATAAAGTCATTTTGAATTTCATGGCACTTTAAAGTTGTTTAAGACTGTAAAAGTCAGCAGTATGAATAAAAACAGCTGAGTTCATTATCAGCAGGTTAGTGAGAGGACTGAGTATAAATGGTCTTTTAGAGGATGAATCTGTCAGAAGTAAAGATGGACAGAGCTTCACCAGTCTGTCAAAAACTAGTTTCAGWATAAAGTTCCTGAATGGAAAACTCTGGATCTCCAAACAGACGTTACGTTTAACAAACCCCAGCCCACCAGAGTTTTATTTTGTCCCATGTGGGTCTAAGGATGCATCAGGACATAAAAACATTAAAAATATTGAGATAAAATTCACATTTCAGATGTTTTTTCTCCAGCATGATGTTTCCACACATGAAAAAGAAAAAACAGTGCAGCTGAAGGTCCAGAGTCSGGCAGGATCCTGGATTTGTTGGGGGTCAGAGTGACGTCAGCTGCAGTACTGGCCTCTGCAGACAGGGGGCAACACTGCTCAGAATCACAGAGAGAGGAGGGGAAGCGTTGATTGATGGGACTGCGTGAGGCTCCTTTTATTCTAATCAGATCAGGGAGGAGGAGGAGGAGGTGGTGGTGGTGATGGAGGTCCACAAACACCTCCTGGAATGAAAACTCATGAAAAACCATTTAAAAAATCCAACGGCAAAACTGGATCTCATTYTTAATCCTGCAGGTTGACAGGAACCAGAGGAACTTTCCCATCTCTCCTTCCTGGTTCTGCAGGAAGTGGTGAAACGAAGGCACTTCCTATTCCTGCAGCTCCTCCTGCAGCAAGCAGCGAGGGGCAGAGAATGAGTCACTCCGGGTGAACGAGTGCAGCTCTGTGATGCTGGTGACGGGAGGTGAAATAAAGCTGGGACCGGAGAACGGAGGCAGGTGAGGGATGAGCCAGAATAACCCCCGACATCAACCGAAATCAATTCAGGTTCCCAAAGCATGAGAAGTAAAAATAAATCTCTGACAGCTGAGTCTCTTTAAAAACGACTGCATGTAAACAGATCAACTATGGGACCATCCATTTGTCCATCCGTCCGTTCGTTCATTTGTGTTCCAGTCTGAACGAGTCCGTCGCCTGTTTTCACACAGATCAGCCGAAACACGGAGGCTAAAACTGCTGAATAACGTAGGTTCAGTTTGAACTGCAGAAAAAGTCAAAACTAAATGGAAAAGAAACCATAAATTCCACTTTTAGATCCTTCAGTGTTTCCCTCCACACAAACAAACGAATCAATCAGGACATTAAATCATCTGATGATCTCATCCTCCCATCCACCCCTTCCATTTAACAGATGCATTATGGGTAGGAAACCACAGGGTCTCGACCATTTTCCCCGGGATGCGAGCTAAAAGTTGTGGATCTARCACGCCATTAACCCTCAGAGGAGAACCCAGAGGAGGTTCTGAGTCCATCTGACCAGAACCTCCTCATTCAGGAACATTTCCACCTGAATCTGACTGCAGATTCCCACAAAAACAAACGTTTTATTGTTTCTGCATCAAGAATATTTCACTTCCCTCCCTCAGACACATCATTTATTAAAATGTTTTTTATATCAATGATGGAAAAAAAAGAGTTGGCTGTTTAAGTTTTATATTTAGGAACATTTAGTGTAACAGTATAGTGTTTTTTTTGTTTTTCTTTTTTTTCTCTTTTACTTGTCTTTCTTTATTCTATCTCATCCTGTCCTCTTTTGACCTGCTGTAATGTGCAAATT